AAATACCATCTTATTCAAGTTCTCGTTATATGCTTTTCTTTATTGATGATTCTATAAGGTTCACTTAGGTCTATTTTGTGAAGAAAAAATTAGAAGCTTTTTTAAAATTTCATGAGTTCAAGTTAATAATTGAAAGTGCTCTTAAAAGAAAAATTAAAAGATTATGCATTGATAATGACAGAGAGTTCACTTCTGATAGCTTCTTTTCTTTTTACAAAGAGTATGACATCAAAAGGGAATTTATGTATACAAATATATTACAACAAAATGATATGGTTGAAAAAAAGGTTCAACATCTCATGAAGACTACTAAATGTTAGCTTCAAAGAATTTACCCAAAACCTTATGGGCAGAAGGTATGATATATATAACTTATATTATTAATCGAACTCCTCTTAGTCCAATCAATCTGAAGTCTCCATATGAGATCATGTTTGGTGAGAAACCAAACGTTAAACATTTCAAAATATTTGGTTACTCGTGCTATGCTCACATGCCAGACACAGAGAAACAAGCTTGATACTAAGGCTAAGAAATGCATCTTTATTGGCTATGTTGAAAGAAAGAAATATTAAAAATGTATAGATCCATAAACACATGATATGTGGTATCTCATTTTGTTTAATGAATTTTTTTATTATTATATTTCATAAATAATTTTTTTTAAATATCAATAATAATAATGAAAGTGATACATGTTCAAAACCTATGGTTAAGATTCTTTTGTCATCTAATACTCCTATGGATTTTGGCTCATCTTCTTCCTCATTTGTATCTATTCTTGTTATTTATTCATCACCAATGATGGAGCAAAGTGATAGGGGGAGTAATGATGTTTATAAAAAGGAAATTCCAACATTGAGAAGATCAAAAAGAACAATTGTCAAACTAACACATTAGAGACAATGTAAATCAATTGATAATTTTGAGCCTACTTGTTTTGATGAAGCTAAAGGCGTTAAGGCTAATGGGATTCTAGGAAAAGTTCAAGTCGATAGCATGCATGATTTTGCTTTAGCTCATGGATTGCCTAAAGATAGATTTAGGCCTTTGCCAAATGAAAGAGCCAAATCATTGCTTATTAGTTTCTGTCAAGAATTTGGTATTATTTTTTATTTGTACAAGTTCATTCTTGAATTCGGTCATGGATGTTGTGCCTTCTACACAAAGTACAATTAGAGATTTTAGTAGTTTTCCATCTAGAAAGTTTGGATCAGGCTTTGGGTTAAGAGGTATTCCAGATAATCCTAGAAGTTTCGAAATGGAGCAACTTGATTTAGGTAGATTTCTGAGTAAAATGAGAAAGGATATGGATAGTAACATTCATATGCACCTTAGAGAACAATTTGGTCGGAGCCAGTATTTCTATGAGTAATCCTATACTTGATGGCAATTATGAGCATGACCTTACGGATCAAGTCGGGACTTATCTCCAAAAGTATACTTTAAAAGGAAATGTTAAGAAGTTAAAGTATATTTTGAAAGATCATAAATTAATATTTTATATTTTAAATGAGATTAGATAGAGTTTTAGGGATAAGAAATTCTTAGTTTAAAATATATTTTAGAAGATTTCAATTAGATAGAGTTGTAGAGATTAAGGACTATCAAATTTTACATCTATAAATAGGTGGCATCTACATATAGATCAATTAAAATTTCAAGTATTCTAGTCAAGTCTAATAGTCATTCAAGTTCAATAAAATTTTTATTTTTCATTTTAGTTTCTTTTTTTTTCTATTTGATTTTATCTTGGACTAGTAATACCTTGTTACTATCATTTGAAAAAGAGTTACACTCGTAACCTCCCTTTCTTCACAGCGTGGATTCGACTAATCACCACCACCACCATCCTTCGGGCCATCATCTTCCTCAATCGGTAAATGCATTGTGAATTCTACGATCAGGTGCCATGAAAACCCTTCAAAATTTGTTCCTTTCACATAAATTCCACATTATTCCAAGATTGATTTTTCACATGTTTCACCAAAAAAAAAAAAAAAAAGGGGGCATACAACACCAATAGATTAATCGGAACAGTATCAAACAAGCAGGAAAGCAATAGATAAAAAAAAAGATATCGAGCCAAAACAGGAGCGACTTTCAAGACTATCTGGCGACGAATTGCAAGAAGAGTTAGAGAGAGTATTGCACCTCATGTCGAGCGTCAGATTGATCGATCAATTGATCACCTAATAGTCTAACTTTAACCCACTTGGAATCCCCGACTCGATCGCCTTCTGCAACTGTAATCAGTGATCGATTCCACAAAAAATCGATGGATTAGAAGCAAAAATGCACCACTGGAGTAGCTTCTCGACAAAATTAGGATCTCCAGATACTTATATCGAAATCAAATCGTAGGTTTCCTCTCTATCAGTGCATGAAGGGATCGGATGAAACGGTATCAGTAAACCCTTCAAATTATATGTGATTGATGTCTTACCGGAGCGGTAGGCTTAATTTTTATTTGTGGAGTTAATTATTGTCATTAATGAGCACCAAACTACAATTATGGGCGAGCGTATTCGTTCGTGGTGTGGTTCGATTTACGTGGGTTCTGTGAGGGCGGGAGTTGTGGTTCTTGTGCCGGACTTAACATGTGAGCATTGCTCGTGGTGCTTGGCGGGGTCCTTTGTCAGGACCATGGATTTAGATTAGCTATTAATACATTGATGCACACCTGGGACATGGTTATCTGTCCTAAGTAACTTATCTTCAACATCATAAATCAAAGCAAACACATTAAAAAAAGAAAAAAAAAAAAAGGAGTCAACAACTTTAATTGGGATGAGAAGAAATCGAACTACAAGTTGTCTAAATGATACATTGATAATGCTTAAATATTAATATTATTTTAGGATAATATTAGTATTTTAATATTTATGAGATGTTAATATAAATTTTTAAAATTTAAAAATATCCTATGACTTTATTTAAAATTAAAAATATTGTTAAAATGAGTTACGAAGAAATCAACATGATTTATACTTTTTATAAGATAGAATTTTATTTATTTATTTATTTATGAATATTATTTTATATTTATTGATATAATTATATTTTATTATATATTTGGGCTATATAAAATTTTTATAAGATTACATATATTATATATTGTACACATTCAAAGTATAAACTGACTCATAAATTAACCTTCACGTGAACCCTATGATGTCAATTACAAGCGAACAACGAAGTCACATCGTTGGTGAACACGATGACGCCTGTTATAAGTGAATAACGAAATCACATCGTTGGAGGTCCATTGTAATCTGACGGTCGTGATCCCGAAAATTACCTAAACCATAGGTTATCAAAATTGGCACACGCCAAATCGATATTATGGTGGTTGATGTGTGCATGGTTAAAAGGTCAAGTTGAATTGATGAGACCATTGTTTCTGGTGGTAGCCTAAGTCTGGAAGTTTACTGACTTCTATTATGTGCATTTTATTGATATGGAACACTACATTAAACCTATAACCATCTCCTCTTCTGTACGTGCAAACAAGCACATTTAAGCTCCTATACCCAACTCCAGAGCAGCAAGGAGCTCACATAAACTTCTCTCTCATATCCAAAGTATGTTATAGTCCATGAAATAAGAGAATAACTGGAATACAAGGATCATGTTGTGCACAATATCCAAATTCTCATCCAAGTAATCACAGCAAAATTCTACTGTAGCTTTTTATATAACCTGAAATGAAAACACTACTAGATGATTGAGAACAATCTCATTGTATTATCCTTGTCTTCTTCCCTTTCTTTCTTTTGTTTTTCTATCTTGTTCTCCTCCTTGTCGTTGGAATCACGTGACTCCAGTATTCACATCGTTACTATAGTTTTTCCTCCTCTTTTCGTAGCCCCCCACTCCCCCCTAACATGATTTAAGATTAGATTAAGAAAAAAGGTGGGATGTGGACTGTACAAGCCCACTATAGGTTGAATCTGGTGGACTATCAACCCAACATATGAAACATAAAAACTAACTCCTACTCAACACCGATAATCATACTTAGACTTGTTGGTTCCTCTTCATCTTTCATTCAATGTGATGTGATGTCCAACAAATGCATGTGATCGTTCTAAGAGCATATCTTGACTCGACCCCTCGTATAGAGTCAAGATCGACAACGTCATAGACCAGGGTGAAAATATTAAGCGATAGAGGCCCTTCAATCCTACTCTAGTCGGAAAGTTTGGAGAATCAACACCTAGCAATTAATGGTGACCGATCTCCCAAGTTTTAAGATCCATACTCATCCCAAAGCAAAGAACGAACAGTTAGTTCCCCATGGCATAAAAAGCTCGCACTAATGAAGAACCTTATCGGACGATGCTCACCATCGAACCCGGGAGACGATCGTGGAGGAGGTTCTCCATAGGCAAAACCATTGGGAGTCCACCCAATAGATGGCGACTCGAGAGAGCTCAATGTACCTATTGAAAGTTAACTTTGAGACAAAAAAAAAAAAAAACTGTGTTTCTGACTTCATGTTTCCCATCCAAATGTCTTGTATATGCTTTACGACCTTACTTTTGATTCTTCTATATCAATTAAAACTAGAATCTTAAATGAACTAAAATAGTGTAAACATAATTGATAGCAGATAAGATTTCTCTAAGGAAATCTCCCTCCAGAGAGAATTCTTATCTTCTATTCTTTCCAACAATAATACCACCCCAAAGCCCAAAGCTGGAATGGAGATTTTGCAATCAATTTTAGTTAGACAAGCCGTAGAAAACAAACAGCAAGGTGAAAGGAAATTAAGGATGCCTATATAGAACTATAAGCACCAGAAACAAGTCTGTGCTCGAAGCAGAATAATAATGGGCTTGACATATTCTGGCACATATTGGGAGGGAGGCGTTGCTTGGAGGAAAATAAATGCAGAGGACTGGATACGAGAACTACTTGCAATTCAACCAAAGAACGAGGGCTGATGATAGCCGACGAGATGACACACACAAACCGACACCGAGTACGCCAGGCAGTAGATTAAATCGTTGGGTGCCCATATTATGCATAAAAAGATTTGTTTTATAACATACTGCAGTCCATGCGTTAAATTAAAAAGCAGCCTTTCTCGTTCTTTCGACAAGGAACAAGGAGGCTGACGTCTTTATAGTGAAATGATGCCGGCCTCCCCTAACTCGAAAATGAAGCCTGCAAGTGTTTAAAGCCTGAGATATCAAATCGCTCCATAAACATTTGATCGGAAACTCTTGCTTTAGCGGCGGCAAAGCGCTGGTACTCGTCGAATATTGAAGCAAGACACCATCGCTGCAGTTTTCTTAGACAGCCTACGAGACAACCGGTTCGATGCTGCAAGGATAAAGATTGATGATTGGGATAATTTAAGCTTGCTCAGTCACCGAGTTCTGAGATTGATGCCAGAAAAAGTAAGGAGACTTTACCTTTCCCCGCTTGCAATGTATGACGATCGGGTGATTTCTGATATCTGCAATACGAAGTCCAAGTTCACAAAACCATCAAATAGATGAATCCCCACTGAGAGAAAGGAAAGGATTTTATGACCATTTATACCGAGGACGACTCTGAGAGCCTCGTGAATCGTATCTTCTGGAATGTTGACGAAAGGTTCCTGCACAGCAAGTGGCTTTTAAGAGTGAGTTTCGAATTAGAATTCCGACTTACAAAATAACAAAGACAGACTGAACTTTTAAAAGTAGAAAAAATAATAATTAGTCGAGATGTTCGGAGTCCCTTTTTAACTCGGCGGAGGTTTCTTTTTTCTAACTCCTGCTCAAAACAGAAAAAGAAAATGACTGAACCATCATTCTCGAAGCACAAAGACACAAACATCGAATACTATTTATATATATAAATATAAATCCCAATAAAGAAATTAATAGGCATACTTATCTGATAAACTATATTCAAAATTGTTGAGATATACCTCTAATCCATTTTATCCTTTCCATTGCTAATCAGAGTTTCATCTGAGGTCAGACCATGAATCCTCTCAGGGAAGATATTGAAATAGAAAATAAAAGGGTTAATCAAGTCCACAAACGAGGGGAACAAATTATTGAAATTTGTTGCTACTGCATCTCATCATCCGTTGAGCGAATATTTAATCTGCAACTACACTCACATCATTAATCCGATCACCCCTCTGCCCTTAGCAAACTCATGACTATCTATCTATCTGGTTCTTATTCTTGGTCAACTCCCCTCGGTCGTCAAGTGACCAAAGAAACCAGTACCTACAAGTTATATGGGAGATCGAAAGCCAACTTCAATTTATCAATGTGCACCGCTATATTGTTCGGTATATGAGCCTCATATTTAACTCGATCATAGTTGATAAGATCATTTAGTCCCATGTTGGTTGAAGAGTATGGGAATCAAGAACTCATAAGTTCGCTAGATTCCCTTTATGTCTCATCGTCCAAAGCGAATAATTTCTCGTGAACCTACGGGGTCGCACCAATGATCGACTGACAAATTGTCCCTTATCAAGGGCAAAGGTTATCAAATTGTTAAATCGACAAATTTCCTGAAGCAAAATGTCCACGTAATTATCTATTGTGACAAATTTGAAGAATAAACTTAATGTGCTTTAATTTGTCATTCAAACTACACAATTTGTTTATGACTTCAAACTACACAAATGAAAATATGTTACAACTCAACTTGCAACTGCCATGTCGGAGTAAGTGGATATGTTTTGGAACTTTGCCCTGCTCAAACAAGCCAAACTCTGGCTATAGCCAACTTCCTTTCCAACCACAATCTTCAGTTTCGCTGAAATGAACTTCACACTAATTTCCGATTTCATCAAACCAAACATTAAATCATCGATATGGAGTCAAGGAGATCATGTCCTCGACCAAAAGTTATGTTTGCTTTCAGCATGATTCACAAGGATAGACAATCAAATGTCTCAGCAAATAAGTGTGTAATCTATCAGAAAAACACCATTACAATCCAAATATCCAAGTTAACACTCAAATAATTAGGAACCTCTTTTAAACCTTTATATTACCTCTGTACGCATATTTAGATTTCTGGATCACAACAGCTCTACATCCAAAAAAAAAGACACAATTGTGTTGGAAGTGCAAAACACTACCGCCACTATTTATTTGATCTTAAGTTATCACGATAGGAGCCCACTAATAAAAATAACTAGAGAGTAGCTTAAGTTCTTACAAAAGAACCAACTACACGACAAGGACAACTCCCTGTTTAATTTGGATTACAAACCATTCCTAGCATTTGAATGACATAATCATGTCAGCCAGGCATGTGCTTTTCGTGCTCCGAGGAGGAAAAATGATAATAACTCGATGCTTTCTCTAAATCGATAATTCACATCCTAAAACAGTTGATTGCTGACATAATTTCTCATCCATAGTGAACCCGCTACTTGCTTAAGCAACGAGTCCGCTCTTGAAAGTACAAAATCGTCCCAATAGAGATTGTAGCTCAGTGCTTTGCAGAAAGTTAAAAGTTGCTGCATTAAAGTTTGTTCATTTTTATGATAGAAGAACCATTAGATCTATCTCTCATCTAAACTTGCTAGTTTCGACACGAAAGTGAAAAGATAGTTTGTGAGTTGAGGTTCAAGATCCCTTTAAATATTAAAAATAGTCATAAAAGAGAAAAAAAAAATTCACAAAGAAGGAACGTAACACATTTTAGCTAATGTGCCAACCGACAGGCAATCAAGAGAAGTAGCCTATGTCAAAAACCTGTCCACCACCACCCTCCACAAATTTTCCAGCCTGCTCGTTATCTCAGTGTTGGGTCCGACCGGCTTGGATAATTTGGGCCATAAGTCTAAATCAGTAATTAAAAGGAAAAAAAAAAAAATAGATGTGAGGACAATCGGTGCAACGAGATCGTGCAGCAGCGGCAGTACGCAAAAGAGAGAAAAGAAAAGAAAAAGATTAGGATCTAAGTTTTGCTTTACGATTAGTGGTTAAATGTTGTCAATCTTGATCCAAATTTTATACAGAGAATTCTTATAGCAAGCTTTACAATCCTAATAATATTAATCTATAGTTTACCCTCTCTGAGATACTTTCCTGCTATACTTACTTTGTGAGACTTAGAATTTTCAGATCCATCCTATGTGATGATGATACGCTATTCTTGAGCCAAGATCTATGTTCTTGATGTTATTATGATCATTTGGTTATTCCAGAGAAGATTTACTATAAACCTGTTATCATTATTATTGATAGTGGAAGTTTGAGGTGAACTACGGTCCTGTGGTTTTTCCCATATTGAGTTTTTCATGTTAAAAGATTTGGTCTCACTGTGTGATTGATTTATTGTTCTACTGTTTATATTGTTCTGGTTGATATTAGCATATTGATATCAAGTTGGTATTTTGATACACAAAGAGGAAAAAGACTTATTCCACTTTAACATGTTTTTTCCCAACAAGTGGTATCAGAGCAATAAGATATTTGGTGCTAGTTTTTTTTGTATGATTGAAATGGAGCAGTTAAATGGTATGATTAAATTGAACTCATCAAATTATTCCACTTGGAGGCGTATCTTGGAAGATTTGCTGTATTGCAAAGATTTGTATAAGCCTATCAAGGTTAAAGATAAACTTTCTACTATGGACGATAAAGAATAGGAAGTTTAACATAGAAAAACTATTGCCTATATTAGAAGATTGATGGATATAAATTTGCATGAGCATATTTCTGATGAAACCAAAGCTGATGTTGTTTGACAAAGGTTAGAAAATCTCTTTGCGAAAAAGACAATGGGAAATAGAATTTCTCTCCTCATAAGGCTTGTAAATTTAAAGTATAAAGATGGTGGTAACATTGTTGAGCATATAAGCCTATTTTAGAGTCTTACAAATAAGTTGGTTGCTATGAAAATGAATATAGATGATGAGATGCAAGGATTATTACTTCTCAACTCTTTACCAGAATATTGGGAAACGTTTGTGGTGACAATTTGTAACTCCAACCCAGAGGGGACTCTAACTATAGATATGGTTAAAGACAGTTTGCTAAATGAAGATGCCAAAAGGAAAGAACAATGTGAATCTTCTTCTGGAGGAAGATCTAAGTCTAGAAGAGATATCAAATGTTTCCACTATAATAGGTCAGGTCACATGAAGAAAGAGTGTATGTTTTGGAAGCGAGAGCAGAATGAAAGGAAGAAAAATGAGAAAGAGATCAATACAATTGCTGCTGAATGTGATATCACTATTGTTTGTGATAAAAGTTGTGTCAGTCTTGTAGTTCAAGATAGTAATTGGGTAATTTACTCTGATGCTTCATTTCATGTTACTTCTTATGGTGATTTCTTCATGTCTTACATTGCTGGTGATTTTGGTAATGTCAAAATGGGAAATAGTGGTACATCTAAGATTGTGGGTGTTGGAGATATTTGCTTGGAGACTAGTGTTGGGAGCAAATTGATACTCAAAGATGTAAGGCATATTCCAGATATTCGTCTTAACTTGATATCTACAAGCAGACTTGATGATGAGGGCTTTGCACATTATTTTGATGAAAGCAAATGAAAACTCACTAAAGGTTCTCTAATTGTGGTAAGAGGAAAGAAGCTTAACTCTTTTTATGTCATGGAAGCTAAGCTACACAAAGGAGAGATTAATACAATTCAAAAAGGTGAAAGTATAGATCTTTGGCATAAGAGACTTGGTCATATAAGCGAGAATGGACTTCAAACTTTTGCTAGAAAATAGTTCTTACTAGAGTTGCAAGGTACATTTCTTAAATCTTGTGATCATTGCTTAGTTGGAAAAACACATAGAGTTGCATTCCATACATATCCATCATCTAGAAGATCAGATGTTATTGATTTAGTTCATACTGATGTTTGTACTATACAAACTAGAACTCTCGGATGTGCTCTTTATTTTGTTACTTTTATTGATGACCATTCTAGAAAAGTGTGGGCTTTTGCTTTGAAATCTAAAGAATAAGTACTCGATGTTTTCAAGGAGTTTCATGTTAGTGTTGAAAGAGAAACTGGTAGAAAGCTAAAGTGTGTTCGATCAGATAATGGTGGCGAGTTTAGGGGGTCCTTTTGAGAGTTATTGTAGGTTTCATGGAATTAGGCTTGAGAAAACAGTTCCTAAAACACCTCAGTAGAACGGTGTGACAAAAAGGATGAACAGAACTATTGAAGAAAGGATTAGGTGTATGCTTTCTCACGCCAAGTTACCGAAGTCATTTTGGGGGGAGGCTATGAGAACTACAATTGAACTGATAAATCTTTCTCCATTAATTCCTCTAAAAGGTGATGTTCCAGAGAGAGTATGGAAAGAAAAAGATATGTCTTATAATCACTTAAGAGTCTTTGAATGTAAAACATTTGTTCATTGTTAGAACCCTTACAGATTCTAAAC